TGTATACTCGTGAAACTGGGAAGATTTTCCAAAATGAAGTTTCCACAAATTTGAATTCACAAAAATGTGCCACATTGTCCAGTCCATAAGTTCTCTTTTTTCATTTTTACCTCCGTTTATTGAATATAAAAAGGTGCAATTTTCAACGATGGGGAAGCTGACAATCAAAGGGTTGCAATTAAACATAATGAGGAAAGTCAGATGTGGTGGTTGGATTCGAGCACACGTCCCCCGAGGTGATATTTTGGTGACGATACCACCGGGGTACTATCGCCCTAACGTTAATATGGGAAAACAGATCCCTGGTTCACCGGACAGAGCATTGAATGAAGTTGCGAACCAACCAAGTGAACTCCTAACGAAAAGTCGGCGGATTATCGTCTCCTCAGAGGGTTTAAAGTAAAAATTATGTGATATTTACAAACATTTTTTGAGTTCCACGTAGTGCTCTAAATTATATGTATTTTCCAGACAAGCTCGCACACGCGATAATTAGGCTGATGTTCTCTCTAGCCACTTCACGGACTTGTATGTAAACTAGCCCTCGCACAAAATACATCAAGTCATGTTGAACAAAACAAGTCGTTGCAAGGCTTCTTGTAATATACGCAGTGATAGAGATTCAATTGTATAGCATAGACTAATGCACGTTAAATCAGTTCAGGCATTTCGTCATAGTTGAATCATCATCGTCAAACAGCGGACGATTAATTTAATGAAATCGATCAGTGAACAAAACCAAACGTACGGGCTGCGCATGACGACCAAGTAGCATCTCGACCTCGCGTTGAACTCGTAGTTCCTGGTTCACCGATGACCCCGAGATAGAAGTCCTGTCGGTCGAAGATAGTCCACCGCCTGTTGCTGTCGTAGCCACAGTTTCGGAGTAAACTGTGCGTATGGGTAGGGCATCGGATGCACCAGTGCGGTCGCGCCCGACCATCGTCATGGCCCGATCCGAATGGGATCGACCAAAGTGAATGAGTGGCAGACGCCGACGGGGGGTGAATTTCTTTTTGATTACCTAGGAAACAGGAGCGCGTTAGTGAATAGGTCCGTTTGGATGAACAGAGAGTCAAAATACTGATAGTTGTTTGCAGGAAGACTACTATGATCAAGTGGAGCCATTTTGATTGATGTACGAGAAAGACATAAGGGGACTGAAAACCTAGGTGAACAAAGGAAATTAAAGTTCGGAAATCAATCCCGACCTAACAAAAAGAAAAACACCACTGTGAACTTGACACCAGGATCATGTTGCCATTGTACTGATATATAAAACTATCATTATTATTCTATCACATGCTCGTCTGAGTCCTGACTGTGCACCGAACAAATCAGCCATGTTCGGTATGCGTTGTGCACCTTCAGAGTGTGAAATGCTATTGTTGTGGCCTGCGGTCGAGTGAAACGTTTACCGTGCATCACGTGTT